CAGCCCTCACCTACCTCGCAAGTTGCTCACAGGATAAAGACGGGAACTAGGGAAGCTGTCCTGAGCTCAAAAGCTGAAGAAGATAAACATGGAATGAGTGATTTCTTCCCCCACTCCTCCCAGGTCTTAATTAGAGCCAAGACTCTGCTCCAGAACCTTATTTCAGGGATAAAGCTCAACTACTTGCAAAATAGAAATTCTGATGGAAGCCAGACGACCTCCATGGTAAAGCCTGATGATATGTTGACATGAGGGTTGGCAGCTGTAATTGATTTAATCAGTATATTCTTCCACCAAAGCTTTAATCAGAGGTTACAATCCTCCTCCTTCCACCCCTAGCTGATCAGTGAGGCTGCCTGAGGAGCATACCGGCATGCAGACCTCACAAACACACACACACACAAAAGGAAACGCAAGAGCTCCTGCCTCCTTCCACTGGAATATGGCATTTCCTTTCAGATAGCTCACAATGTCCCTTTGGAATGAAACTAACATGGCTTTCCTACCAGTGATGATCACCACTGTAGGTGTGCCAATAGTCAGGGAGAAATGTCAAGATAAGTGTATCTCCATGGATGTTCAGCAGGGATCGGGGCCAACACAGCTTGTGATCTAGAATCTCTCATAGCACTGAAGGGCCTTGATTTTGTCTGAACTTTCAAAGCTGTTTCAGCCTTCCCACTATCGATGTAACTAAAGATGATGAACAAGAAATGACTGAAGGATGACTTAGAATGCAAAATGCGAAATAAAGATTTCCTTTGAACCCCTACTCCCTTTGAACCCCGAATCTTATTCCTTGAGCTAAATCAACAGGACTGGTCATGCCTGCCCTTAGCCCGACCCCTGACTTTGTGCACTGCTGCTGCGGGCACCGCACCCCAGGAGTTGTGTCCCCTCCTTCCTAGTTGCCCCTTGAGACTGGTGGGAGGGGCACAGGGCTGCGTGCAGCAGCTCGCAAAGCTGCGTGACATGTTATCCGGTCCCCCTGCTGCTGCGTTCACAAAGGACACCCAGGGGCTGCTTGGGATCCCAGGGCCAATGAACTACTCCAAGTTTGCTGTGCCAACAATTCTTGGAGTGTACTGATCGTGAGGAAACAAAGTGAACCCCCATGTCCAGATTCCTTTGTGCCACGGCACCCCATCAGTAGGTAGGCTGCCTAAAAGAGGAGGATCTATGAGAGAATATAGGCCCTAGGAGGTCATGACAAATAATAGCCATCTCGCTCCCACACAGCTAGGATTAGGGGACAGATATGACAAGCCCCGCTCCTTTCAAAATGTAATTTATTTATGGGAATCCCTGTGCCGGTAGCCCCTGCCTCAGATGGCGTTAAAAGGGGATTAGCCAAATTAGTACAAGACAGGCCTGTCCATGGCTATCAGCCTCCATGCTTTGAAAAAACCTCAAAGAGCAGGGGCAAATTACCCTTGCTTGCCAGACACTGAGAACATACAGCAGGAAAGCATTGATCTTGGATGCTTCTTCCACGTGACTGAGCCTCAGAGGTGCTATCCAAAGACCAAGGACACCCTGCTACGTTATGGTCACGATAACAGACTTAGAATATTAAGAATTAGGGCCTAGGTTTTCTTGTATTCCTACTCCGTCCCCGCCAGATCCTTTCCTTTAAACAGGCCGCTGGGGTGTTTTAGCTCCCCCTTCCCATGCCACGTGTCCATCTCACATGGACAGCAAGCCATCTGGGTAGTGGCCTCGTCCCTTCCAGGTTCTGCCCCCCAGCCTTGAACGGCTGCTGAACACCTGTTAGGCAGACAATAGCAAAGGCAGCCAGGGAAGCAACCAACAGGATTCCTGAAGGCCAGTCTCTGGCTCAGCTTTCTGGGACTCCGCTCACACATGGTGCAGGCTCACAGGAGCTGCAGAGCATCTGTGGAGACATGCTTATCTGGGCATTTCTCCCTGCCAAAGGCACACCTACAGTTTCCTGTGCAACAGAGGCAGCATCCAATGTTAATAACTCTTGGCAGCAGCCAAGCAACACCTTGGCGGCCTTTGTCAACCTGCTGCCCTGCTGACGTTTTGAATCTCAAACCCTATCAGCCCCAGTTAGCATGGCTGATGGTCAGGAATTCTGGAAGCTGTTGTCCAAAACATCTGAAAGGCCTGGGGTTTGGGAAGGCTGACTTGGGATCTGCAGCAGGCGAACTGCAGGACTTACAGCATCACAGAAGCTGCAGCCACCCAGGTTTACCCCCAGGTAGGATTCTCCACACAATGAACCTTCACCCACTGACAGATCGATGCTGCAAGCAGACAGCCATCCTGGACGTACTGCCAGAATCTCCGACAAATCCAGGCAGCTCCAGTAAGTCAGTCAAGTAATAGATTCAAGGAGAAGGCAAAGTCCACCCAAGCTTTCAGGTCATTGCTAGCAAATGTGAGCCGGAGCAAATTTCCTCCCTTGTCTTAAAATGTGGCAAATACCATCTCATGTTCTTAGCCCAACGTCAGTGCAGAGTCTCATGTACCAACACCAGCAAGCACCCCGTTGCTTATATGGCTGCCCCCAAGGCCCCAGAGCAGCTTTTCCCAAGTGGCACCCTCCAGTTGTGCTGGGCTACAATGCCCATGATCTGCTGCTGGGCACAATGGGAGTTGTGGCTTTCTGGCTAAAGCAGGCTGCCCTAGAGATAACCTAATTTAAAGAAGGGGGGTTTGGTCATCTGGCAAAGCTGAATTTGCTTCATGTGTAAAAGGTGGCCCACGGTTTAATTAGGAATTGTTTCAGAAGACCAGACTCTCAAAATCTGGCCCTTGCACCTTAATGTTTAAGTCTTTTGTCAACCTAAGACAAGGCTAGCTGCTATAAACCCAAACTCTCTTATTCCAGCTTGACTCAGGGAATGCTGCCTCTCCTTCAGAGATCTGCCATGACTCGGAACTAGGATGATGGTTAAGCTGGAACTGTGCCAAAAGGCCAAAGAAATTTGACCTTTGGCAAGCAGGATCTTGTTCACACTGCTATCTGCTTGTGGCATATTAACCCACATTTCCCAGGTTCTGATCCTGGGCTGGGCAGAAGATAGATCTAGATCCCTGGCTGACTTGCAGTGGATCAGCAAGGATTCCTGTTTCTCAATTGTTTAACCATAGCAGCAACAAAATGACTCTTCTCTCACCCCACCCTAAATTGCACTGAAGAAAGCTTGAAATAATCAGGGATGGATTTTCTGTGTGGAAGGACAGTGAGCTCTGTTCCGCTTTTGTATTCAAAACAAATTCCTGGACTCACAGTTGTGTAATTTATAGTGTAATTTATGCAATTCTTTTGCACTAGGTTTCTTTTGGCTTTTCAGTTTAAAAGGAAGTTGATCTCACAAATCAGAATCCTTCCCACCATTCTAATCTACCTCTTGAAGTATTGCATCCAATGGACTCAAGGCCACATGCATTCTGTGCACATGCACTGGCCACCTTCACCCTTACAACAAATGTGTGAAGCGAGTTACACTGAGCCATGGAGATCGACCTCAGGCTACCAATAAGATCTGTGACTGAGTCAAGATTTCAGCCTGGCTTTTCCTTCTCTAAAACCTGCAACCTCACCTCATGCCCTCCAGATGTGTCCAGCCATCCGCCAGGCTGGGTGGGGATGATGGGATCTTTAGTCCAGTGCCAGGTTGTGAAAATCTGCCTTAGCCACTACACCACACTGATTAGTAGGGAACTGATTGGCAAGCGGGACCAAGCAACTGGACCTTCACATATGATGGAAACAGCTTAGCTATTGGGAATAGCACCTAGGATGGCTTTGATCCTTGCAGTTTTGGGAAGGGGAAACTGACAGAGTTTCCAAGAAGGCAGAGATGTGTGCGCATGTGTGTGTGGGAGGGCTGCAAAGGGACAAATGGCAACGGAGCATCGCCTTTAAATTATGCCTGTTTTTCCTTGCAGAGACAACACATCTCCCAGCTGAGGTGGGATGGAGTGTGAGAAACTTGAGATTTCACATCAGATGTGTTATTCCCTTTACTACCACCAGCCAGACATAAACGGGTTCATTAATAATCCCTCCCTCACCCTCGGTGCTTGGAAAAAGCAACGCTTGGCAAAAAGTGAGGGATGGAGAATGGCTCCCCCCAGCCCCTCTCCTTGACTGGAAAATCGAGTCACCTCAGCATCTTCCTGTCTGTTGAATAGTCAAGGTGGGGAATCGCCCGTTTCCACTGCTCCCCTTCCTTATCCCCACCCCCCACCCCGCACCTCAAACACACACACTCCCACCTTTATATTTTGCACTGGAAAGCAAACAGGGTGAAAGGGAGGATCAAAATCAGCACACTGTACCATGCTACTGGCTGACTCAGTGCTATGAAAGCCCCATTTGCACAGATCTTCTTGAATCACCAGTTTGAAAAAGAAGATAAAATCCAAACAAAAGAAAGCACTAGACTTCTAGAGTGAAGCTATGCATTTGCCATAGGCCTTGCGAAAAACAAGGTCTCAGAAAAAGAGAGGGTTGGGGAAAGAGGTCCTTCATTGCCTAGGTGATGAAGGCCTGGTGCCCACAAATGGAGGACAAACCTGATTCTTGACTGTGTCACTTCAGCTGGCAAGTGGAAGCTCACATATCTGAATTCTCCTCCTGGCAAAGATTAAAAATCACACAATTTTCCCCATACAGAAGCTAGGATTTCTGGGAAAATGTGAAACTAGAACCTGTCTCCCTGATGTGCTACTTTTCTGTGTGCAGGGAATCGTATTTACTTATTTACTCTACACAGGGAAATGTTCTATGGAGGAGCATTCCCTCCGGCAAGTCCACCGGTAGTCTCTTCAAGCAGTGCTCTTGAGACCACGTTCCCTGTTGCAGCTGCTCTTTGTGAGAGAACTAGGCCAAAGTTGGAGGGTGTGAAGTTAGACTCTGGCTTAGAATTCTCACTCCATCGAGCGCAACCTCCAGCACCAGGTGCTTCCCACATCAAAGGCAACCGGTCATTCTAGGACCCAGTTATCCCCACCCAAAGGCCTACCTGGATGGGCGCTGTGCTGAAGTGGATCTTGCGGTTGGGGGCGGCCTCATCCTCTTCTGACAGCCCAGCAATCTCCACACAGCTGGATTCGGGTGCGTACAGTCCATCAGCATCCTCATCTTCATCCAACCCACTCCCCCCCGAGTCCTCCCCCAGCCCACTGTAGGCACTAATGTCCACTAGGTCAGCCTCAGAGAAGTCCTCCTTCTTAGACTCATCACCCAGGTCATTCTCCTCGGGTCCCTCAGCCTTGGCCACATCCTCACAGTACGTGTCAGCCAATGCATCTGGGGTTTCTAGGTGTCTCTCGCCTGACGGCCGGCCATTCTCCAAGGCAGCGTGCACCGTCACCTCGGCCTGTATCACCTTGGCCCTGGCGGCCTCGGACCCTTTGGAGGCCTTGCTGTGCTCTTCCGCCAGTGCCACGGCCACCTCCGCCGCCTCGAATTCCTGCTCCGAGTCCCCGCTCTCCTCCACTTCCACAGGCTTGATCTTGCGCACCTCTTGGACCTTCTGCGGGCGCAGGCCCCCCGCTCCATCCTTGTCCCCTGGCTTCCCGGCTCCTGGTCCAGCAGCGGGAAGTTTGGTCTGCGCTTTCTCGGCCTCCAGCGGCCTGCTTCTCACCTGGATCGTGGGCCCCTCGCTGCTCCTCACTTCCCCCTTGGCACCCCCGTCCGACGCCTGAAGGAAGACCCTGGACCTTTTGCTGACGATCTTGGAGTTGAGGGGCCCAACTTTGCCGGGGGCTTTGTGCAGGTTGTTCCTGAGGTCAGCCTTTTCGAAGACCGCGCTGAGCTGGCTGACCGTGGGCGACACCGCGTCGGTGTCCAGCTTGTCCAGCGACTCCGTGCTCCCGTTGAACCTCACCACCACGTCCAGCTTCCTGTCCTGGAAGCCTGCTCTCTCCTTCCTCAGGAGGAGCTTGTTGGTGGTTTCCTTCTCCTGGAGGCTCCTCTCGAAGATTTTCCGGGTCTCCTGGAGCTTGGACAGCGGCTTGTCTGTCTTGGAGTCGAAGCGGCTCACCCGCTCGGAGACGCTGGTGCCCAGCTTCAGCAAGGCACTGTGGTCGACATTCTCATTCAGGCTGCTGGCCCGGGGCAAGGACAAGCGGACGGGCTTCTCCTTCAGCTTGGCCAGGTCGACCGCCCCCTCGCCCGCGGGCGGCGCAGTCCCCATCTGCAGGAACATGTTCTTGATCCGGTGGACGTTGGAGCCATACTTCTTGCTCCTGGCTTTCTTGGCCTCCTCGCTCTCGGGGTTGCCAAGGGCATCCTTGGGGGCTTTCAAGGCTTGGATGCCGGCTTCGTAGGCGTTCCGGTGAGGCGAGGCACTCCGCAAGGTCCCTCCGTTGCCGCCGCCGCCGCCGCTACTGCTGCCGCTGCTGCTGCCACCGGGACTATTATGGGGCTCAGTCTTCATCATGGTTCAGCAAATCTTCTGGTGTCGCTGACACCACATAGCCCCCCGCTTCCTCCGCTCTGCCTCGCCACCTCTCTCTCTCTCGCGCCCACCCCTCCACGTCTCCCTCCGGCTGTCTCTTCCGCGATGAGCTGCGGCGCGCTCACATCGCGAGATGCAAGAATGCAAGCAGGGGGCTAGGCACGTTGCTGCTCCGTCTACAAAACGGCTTTCATTGTGTCAGGGAAATGTGGTCAGTCGCGGGGGGCGGAGGACGAGGAGGAGGCGGAGGAGAGAGGCGGCGTATGCGTGTGGTGGAAAGGGGTGGTGGATGGATCCAGGAGGCGCCTTACCGATGGCAGCAGGCGGCAGATCCTCCGAAGGGGTCGGATTAGCTCAGGCCCACTCCTGCCGGCTGCCCGGGATGCGTGTTTCCCCGCGCTCGCACGCCTGGCTTCTCTTCCTCGCCGCCTGCGCTCTCCTCTCGCCCTCCCTTTCTCTCGCTCTTGCAGCCCGATGATGGAGACCAAACCCTTCTGCAAACGGCACAGCCTGTCGCTCCTAAAAAAAAAAGGGGGGGGTGAGTGAGAGAGAAGGGGTGAGGGGAAATTCCCCCTGGGTCTTAAAGAGATCGTTTTCCTAGCCCCCCCCCCCCTTCAGCTGTGGCAGGAAAGGAAGCAAAAGAAAAAAAAGACAGCGACACGTTCTTCCTCTCTCGCTCGCCCTCGCTCCCTAGTCCGCCCTCCCACCTCGGAAAGAGAGAGAAAAACCCACTGAACTAATCAACCCAATTGCAAGGCGAAGGCGCGGGGGGGGGAGGGGGGAGAAGGGGGAGGGGAGGGAACCATGGTCCCTCGTTCTCCCCGTCGCCGAAGGACTGCTTAAAAAATGAAAATGTAATCCGACCCTTTCCTCGTGTTGGGAGCTTGCACGACTCTCTGGCCTTTCTAAATAACGATAATAATGAGGATGATGATAATAGCAAACGCCCCGCTTTTCCAAAACTGGGTTCATCATGGCTATCGGTTCAAGATGCCTCATGCCACCTGGGTGGAGAAGTGGAAGAGGCGCAGTTGCAATGTCACACAGGCTGTCTGGGGCCCACCTGTATTTCGGTTTGCCTGGGATCTTCCGCCAAGACCTTTAGGTGGAGCAAAACGTCGACCCAAATGTGGCAACCAAGCAGGAGGACTCCTGAGATGTGGGTTAGGTGGGGGACCCTGGAATCTGGAGCGCGCACGTGCTGCTGGCTCGCTGGCATGCCAGGGCTGCAGCTCATGGGTAGGCACGGGCTTCGCCTGCAGCTGACTCCAGATGCTATGATCCTTAGCGTCTCCGTGCAGGGCTGGGAAGAGCTCTGAAACCCTGATGAGTTCTTGCTGGCCAGGGCTCACATAACTGGGCAAGATGGACCAGTGGTCTGGCTCAGCGTGCTTCTTATGTGAGACTTAAATGTGGGCTCTTTTGCAGAATCGCAAGGCTTTCTGGCGTGATACTTGCCAGCTGCTGAACTCTGTGCTCTTTTAAAACAGAACAAAACCCCAAAACACCGAATAGACGAGAAGCGGCAGAGTGGGGGTGGGAGTGGGGGGGGGACACACAGAGTTTGACTCAGTGGAGATCCAGCTTTGGAAAATAATCTGTGCCAAATATTTAAAGCATCATCTAATGATGAAAATTATGTGGATTACAAGATCTCTCCATTCATAAAAACAGCTGTTATATTGGCATGAAACGATTACCCTAAATAAAAACTCAGATTTCAGTTTCTACATTGCCAGGTCAGCTGGAAATGGCAGGCTCCAGCCCAGTTCAAAGTGCATCCAGAAATGGCCTTGACAGAGCGTGAGCAGCTGATCAGAACAACTGTAGCTCGGTGCAGTTCATTTATATTGTGAGCTGATGCGAAGCCCTTGCAAATTTTATGATAGTGCATTGACTGCGTTTTAGTCCTTGGCTCATTCCTTGTCATCGATATCCCTGTGAGATAGACCCTGGTTATTCCCAGTGTGTGGCAACAGGGAAGCAAACTACATGGCGAGCATCAGTCTTCATGGGGAGGGGGCACAAGCACTTCTGTTACAGGGGATTTATTGTGTCTTTTTAAGGTCTGGATCTTAGACAACTGTCCAGAGGTGGTACTGAAATGTAATAAATGAAATGAAAGGATGCATTGATTGATAAACCTGGAATTAGTCACAGCGCTTCAGGAGCTTCCCTATCACAGTTCTTGTAATACAGTCCTCATTTAACACATAGACAAATTATTGCCAAACCTCTTTTAGCACAGTGACCAAATTAAGGGCTGGCGAAGGCTGTCTGCATTCCAGAGCTGGGCAGGACTGAATGCAGAAGGGGCTGGAACCAAACACAGGGCTGGCATATTTTAATTTAAAGCTCTTACTGACAGTAACTGAATCTTAGGAGAAGCATGCCAAGAATGGATGGAAGAAGAACCCATGCAGAGCCAAGGAGTTCCCAGAAGACCGGCTGAAGGGGTGGGGCCAGAGCAAGGGGGTGTGGCCTTCTGCAGGACCTTGGAAGGCCATGTTGGCACCCATGGATTTGGCCACGGACTTCATGTTCAGCTTCCCCGCTGTTATTTCTGATGGCGAGTTCCTTCAGGCCTCTAGAACCATCTGACCTGGACTCAATCAGGGTTTTTATTGTACCCTCCCTGACTTAGTATTTACTTCTCCCAATAAACAGCTTGCATGAAAACAGCAAAAAGGGGGCAGAAACTACGGACTTCTTTTCCATCTTTCTTGAATAATAGAGCATGAGAGAAAGGTGAAAGAGATCGTTTTTTAAAACTTAATTGAGCAAATATTTGGGCCAATGTACATTTTTTTGCCCTTTCCACTTCATGACCTTTACACACATTATGTTGCAGGGAATCTGAACTTGTCTCTGAGTGTACACTTAACTGGCTGCATCTCCCTGACAGGTGTGTTTACAAATGCATGTTTGTGCCATTCACACATGTGTGGAACCTAAAGCATTGCACCTTTAGGGAGCTTTTCAGGGGAGAAGTTCTGCGCAACTGCTGCATTCAGACAGCAAAATAGCCCGCACTTGAAGGGTTAAGCACAGACTGAGGGTTGTTGTTGAATCATGGGTTGTTGTCGAATCATGGGTTGTTGTCATCATCAAAACATGGGTTGTTGTGTTTGAACCCAGCCAAGATTACAAACCATTCACTATTCTCAACCCAACAGTTGGGTTCAGACAACCCACATTTTAGCAATAACCCACAATTCGATGATAACCCAAATGCAACACCTGAGTGTGAGTTATTGGGTGTCTGAACCCAGGCAACCTCCCCAGGAAGCTCCTCCCATGGCAGAATTGCTCTTGGTAGTCTACACCATACCTATTTAATATTTATCCTCAGTCAACCTTCCTGAAACATATACACCATCACCCAGGGAATGCTTTCTGCATATGCAAATAGATTGTCAAAGTAGGCTACTTGGTGTACCAGGTATGCAATAGCCTTTCTGTGGATGTGTGATTTTAATTAGCCATTCCCTAGGGGTCCTCTCCCGCCTGAAGCCTGCGTATTAGTTCTCAAAAGGCTCAACAGTGCGTGGACAGCAGCTTCCCTTTGGCAGGTCTGACGGTTCTCTGGATCAGGGCCACCGAGCCTTGTTGCACAGGAACTCGAAATGGCAGTGCCAACTGAAAGAAACTTGAGCAAGCAGTGAACACTGCCAAGAGGGCATCTTGCTCCAAGGTAAGCAACCAGAGTGCACTAGTATTACTTTGGTGTTACATGATGGCGAGTTTTTATACTTCACTGCTGGTTTCATCTTGGATGTATTGTTTTTGCATTGTGCTTTTAATGTATTTTAATAAAACACCCTTCAAAGAACTTAGGTTATTAGGCCGTTTAAAGATATGATGAATAAAATACAATCAAGTTTCACTTTGGCCACAGAAGTATCCGTCCCTGAGGGTATAAGGCCTGTGGAGTGGGCGGGGAGGGGGAGGGAGAAGAGGCGAAAAGGAGGGCACAAGGACCCAGCGGAACACGTCTGAGCAAAGCTTCCCCTCTATGCTACGCCTTTTCCTGCATCTTTTTGCTTTCTGGTGTGTGCGTAAAGCGGTCCTCCTATCCCATCTTCCCCATTTCCTCCTCTGTCTCCAGTTTACCAGCTGCTGCAGCCTCTCCGACAGAGCTGTGCTAGACAGAAGAGGCCATGGACACACATTATTTTGATACCGTTGGAGGAGCTACCGATTCAGACAGATCTCTCTCTCTCTCTCTCTCTCTCTCTCTCTCTCTCTCTCTCTCTCTCTCTCTCTCTCTCTCTCTCTCTCTCTGTGTGTGTGTTTGGGGGGGGGGGGGTGAGATTTCTCGCTTCCCCGTACTGCTTTTCCTTTCTCTTACACAAATGTTTGTTCAAATCCCACAAACGATAATGTAATCAGTGGTCTAAGCTTGCTCATAAGGCTTTAACAGATGCGTGCAAAAGCCCCAGAGTGGGTGGGTGAAAGTCTCATGTTTCTTAAGGATGACAGCAGCTTTGTACATGATGCAGGAAACATGAAAGAGGAAATACAAGCCGCGGGTGCTTTCTCTGCCGCTACCGAAAGCCTCAGTCAACACACACAAGGGGAGTAAAAACTGTGGCCATGTGATGGAGGGGAAGTGACCAAAGTTACCAGGACTACAGGTGTTTATTCCCAATTTCCACATCAGTGAGGACTAGGATCTCACTGCAGCATCAGAGAGAGAGGACACTGATTCCCATAAATTTTGCACATGGCAATTTATATTATATAGGCAAGTTTAGAAACAATTGCTATAATTTAATACTGTACATTTCAGTGTAGGGAGGAAGACGGTGAACAGGTGACCCATGTGCCTGCCTGTTGAGGGTGAGCAACTTCAAGGCCCCACTCTTTTTTGGGGGGGGGGGGGGGGGGGGGGGGGCTTGATCTTTAAACTGGACTTTGACTGGATTGGCCTTCAAGGATGCTTTAAACAGTGGACTCTGTCAAGTAGAGTCCATGGCCACCCTTCATGGCTATATGACACAGTATCAAATGGACTTCTGAGCTGGGATTAAAACCTACATCCCTTGAGTTCTTAGACTTATTTCTTTATTTAAAACTTTTCTACCCCATCCACCACTAATGTCTCAGGACTTCCAGTATTAGCCACCGGATGACAGTGATGTAGACCAAGTCAGCATCTTAATTTAACAAAAACTTTCTGAGCAGTGGTGTGGTGGCAAATGTTGAAATCTGGGTGCCCATCATGACAACCCCCATGACTGGAGAGGCCAGCATGTTCATGGTTAGAGCATTGCACTTGGGAGATCTGGGTCCCAGTCAACCAGGTAGCCATGCAGCTCAATGGGGGACTTTGGGCCAGTCGCTGCCTCTCAGCTTAACCTACCTCACAGGGGTGTTGTGCGGATAACATGGAGAGGAGGAGAACCTTGTGAGGCATCTTGGGCTCTTGGCAGGAAAAAAGTGGAATATAAATGCAATAAATC